TTTTTCCCCTTATCCCTCCCTTCCCACCCAACGCCCCCAATCCCTTTCCCTTTGGTAACTGTTAGTCATTCTTGGGTTCTGTGAGCCTGTGGCTGTTCTGTTCCTTCAGTTTTTTTCTTTGTCTTATACTCCACAGATGAGTGAAATCATTTGATACTTGTCTTTTTCCACCTGGCTCATTTCACTGAGCATAATACCCTCTACATTCATGTTGTTGCAAATGGTAGGATTTGTTTTCTTCTTGTGGCTGAATAATATTCCATTGTGAATATGTACCAAATCTTTTTTATCCATTCATCTACTGATGGACACTTAGGTTGCTTCCATTTCTTGGCTATTGTAAATAGTGCTGCAATAAACATAGGGGTGCATCTGCCTTTTTCAAACAGGGCTGCTGCATTCTAGGAGTGGAATTCCTGGGTCAAATGGTATTTCTATTTTGAGCTTTTTGAGGAACCTCCATACTGCTTTCCACAATGGTTGAACTTATTTACATTCCCACAAGCAGTGTAGGAGGGTTCCCCTTTCTCCACATCCTCGCCAACATTTGTTATTGTTTGTCTTTTGGATGGTGGCCATACTTACTGGTGTGATGTGCTATCTCATTGTGGTTTTAATTTGCATTTCTCTGATGATTAGCAATGTAGAGCATCTTTTCATGTGTCTGTTGGCCATCTGAATTTCTTCTTTGGAGAACTGTCTGTTCAGATCCTCTGCCCATTTTTAATTGGATTATTTACTTTTTGTTTGTTGAGGTGTGTGAGCTCTTTATATATTTTGGATGTCAATCCTTTATCGGATGTGTCATTTATAAATATATTCTCCCACACTGTAGGATATCTTTTTGTTCTATTGATGGTGTCTTTTGCTGTACAGAAGCTTTTCAGCTTGATATAGTCCCACTTGTTCATTTTTGTTTTTGTTTCCCTTGCCTGGGGAGATATGTTCATGAAGAAGTTGCTCATGTTTATGTCTAAGAGATTTTTGCCTATGTTTTTTCCTAAGAGTTTTATGGTTTCATGACTTACATGCAGGTCTTTGATCCATTTCAAGTTTATATTTGTGTATGGGATTAGACAATGATCCAGTTTCATTCTCTTGCATGTAGCTGTCCAGTTTTGCCAACACCAGCTATTGAAGAGGCTGTCATTTCCCCATCGTATGTCCATGGCTCCTTTATCGTATATTAATTGACCATATATGTTTGGGTTAATATCTGTCCGTCTACTCTTTTTGAGACCCCAGTTGTATTATGTCAAATCACTTGATATTGTCCTACAAGTTTTTGAGACTGTTCATTTTTACGGCATCTCTTTTTCCCCCCTTTAGTTGAACAGTTTATTTTGACTGCCCTTCAAATTTATTGACCTTTCCTCTGTAGTATCCTACCTCCTGTTATTCAAATCCAGTGTATTTTTATTTCAGTTACTGTATTTTTTGATGTTAAGATTTCTAGTTTTTGTTTTGGAGTTTCCATATATCTCTTGAAGTTCACCCATTTCATCTTCTCCTTTATATTTTTTAATGCATTTATAACAGTTATTTTAAAATCCTTCTCTGCTAATCCAACATCTGGGTCATTTGGAAGTCTCTTTCCTATTGATTATGATGAATTTCATGCTTTCTTGTGTCTGAACCTTTTTTATTGTTTAGTGGACATTGTGAATAATAAGCTGTAGAGATTCTTGGATTCTATTACCTTCCTCTGAAGATTATTGAATTTTATTTTAATAGGCAATTAAACTATGGGCAGCCAATTTTTTTTTTTTGGAAGGGGTTACTTATCACACTTAAATGTTGTGAAGATCAGTAGGTCTCTTTTGGCTTCTCCCTTAGTCCTCTGATGTGACTCTCAGTCCTGAGATGGTGTCCTTCCTCCCAAAGCTGCTCTTTCTGGGGTTGCAGTGAAAAGCTGCTGGTGTTTACCAAGTCCTTCTGACTTGGTGGGACTAGGAAGTTACTTCAGGAAAGACTGGTTATATAGGATCTCACTTAGTTATCTTCCTGTCCTTCAGAGATTGTAACCCTTGCATTTTCTGGCTGCTTTTGATTACTCTTTAGTGCTCGCAAACTGTTATTTCTTCTATTTGTCCAGAGTTTATAATAGTTTTCTGAGGGAAGGTTAATTTGTATAAGCTACCTAGCCATTATCAGAGGCAGAACTTAGGAGTACGTTTTTGAGCAGAGCTGATGGCTCAGCCATATGGGGACAGTACAACTGTGAGAAGGTTTGCAGTGGTTCATGGCTGGTTTGGTGGGGAGTGTGGCCAGAACAGGCCTGAGAGGGTGAACAGTTACGGGATCAGATGTTCCTCTGATGGAGGAAAAATGTGAAAGTGGGGTCAAAGGTGGGAGAGAGCTGAGCAGATGGAAGTTGGCCTCTTCCAGCCTCACTATCCCTGATTTGCGTAGGCGGCTGTGAGGGGAGATGGAGATAAAGTATGTGGTTGTCCAGTTAATGGGGTTTATGACTGTGGGGGCCACTGGGTTGAGCTTTGCCATGTCTTGATCCAAATGGCACAGTTCTAGCCATCTGGTGCCTGCTCTGTCCTCCATGGAAGCAGGAGGGCCTTGTGTCCCTGTGAGGTGAAGGCGCATGTCATCACTGTGTTATGATCAGGAACATCACCCTCTGTGCTGCCTGCCTTTGAGGGACATGTTTGTCTATGGTTCTTTGCTCTGCTTGTTAGGATATTGTTTGGCTGTGGTAGAAGAATCAGAATAACAGTAGCTTGAACAGAAGAGCAGTTGAGGTCATTGTCACACCGCAGTTGGGGTGGAAACAGTCTAAGGCTGCTGAGGCAGCTCCCTTGGGTTAGGGTCTCAGGCTTCCTCTGTCTTGTTGAGCTGTTATCCCTACTCTGTCACTTTCTTTCTGAAGGGCTCCCTCACTCACCACCTTCTGTCTTCATTCCCAGCAGCAGGAAAGGGAAAGGGGGCAGCTGTGAGTCTCTCTCCCTTCCGCCTATGAAAGGTCCATTCCAGAAGATGCATCCATCACCTTTACATCCCACTGACCAGAATTCAGCCACGTAGCTGCAGAGGAATGTGGGAAATAAAATCTTCATTGGGGGCAGTCATGAGTCAGTCTACACATCTGGAATCCTTTTACTGTAGAAAGGGAGATTACAGACTGGGGGATAGCCAGCAATCCCTACCACCAATCCTGAGCTCATGCACCTGGCTTTTAACTCAAGGATCACATTACAGAAGGAGCTGGGTGGTCCCTGGAAGCCCATTGTACACTGATGAGTTGAGAGATTTCTGCCTGTTCTACACATTTCTCCTTAAGGGTGTTGAAGACAAGGGTCATTGCTCTAACATACACCAATTGGTGCATGTTATATGACTATTAAGGAACAGGCTGATTCCAAAAGCCACTTGCCAGTTCCAGACTTGTTCCCCATGGCTACACCATACGGAAAGGTGTGTAAAAGCTGGGGTGGAAAGAGCCCAAGCAATGCCAAGATTTTAGCTCTGATCTTCCACCTCTGCCACTGATTGGTGAAGTCACAAGAGGCATATCCTTTAACTTCCCTGTTTTATTTTTTCATCTCCAAAGTAAGGGGTTGGGTTATATCTTAAGGCCTTGTTTGCCCAGCACCCATATTCTAGAATCATATGATTCCATGACACTCCATATCTGGATTAAAGCAAGCTTCCAGAAGGATGCAGACACTTTAACTCCTTTGTGGAATGAGTCAGTGATGTAAATATATATGCACATGCTTGCAGTTTGCCTGGGGAGCCTGCAGGTGTGGGTTTTTCTGTCTCTGTGGGATACCCTTAGTTGTGGGTTTTGTAGTCAAAAGTCACAGCACAATTTTCCATACAGTTAAGCTTATTTTTTAGACTTTATTTTTGTTTCAAAAATACTTTATGTCTGCTTGTAGAGCTATTATATGATCATTGTAGAAAACATAAAAAATAAAGAGTATGGTGAAGGAAGCAAAAAAAATCACCCATAATGTCACTGCTCAGCCACTGGCACTATTAAGGCGTTGATGTATTCCCTTTGCTTCAGTGTCTAGGAAAATATGAAAAATACGTCTATCTCTATTTCAGTAACCAAACTGGAATCATGTGATGTTTTGTGACTTGCTGTTGTTCGCTTGATGAGCATTCCCCAAACCCTTAAATATTTTTCGAGAACATGATCTTTAATGGCTACCAAGGATTCTAATCACATGGATGTGTCACACTGTACGGAGCACACACTGGACATTCAGGCTGTGTCTGAGTCTTCATTATTATTAATTATGTTGCAGGGACATTTCCATTTCACACACAGCATCTTAGCTGCTATCACAGGCCCAGGGAAGTTGGGTGGCCCGCCTGAGGCCACACAGCAAGTGCATGGCAGGGTCCTGGCCATCTGGTCACAAGACTGACTGCATCCTCCCTCATACCAGGACAGAGGGCACAGGCATGGCACAGGGGCACTGGAAACAGTTGGCTTCCAATGTGCTGGGTTCAGAAAAGAACCAGTGGATTTTCCCAGCAAGATGCCCTCTGGGTGGCCTGTGGTGCCCCGCGGGAAGCCGTGCTCCCTGTCTTCGCAGCAGCAAGGTGCCCTGCCCCGTGTGCTGCCTCACCCGCCTGAGGTCCAGGTCTGAGGGGAGAGGCCTTGGGAGCCTCTAGGGTGTGATGGAGGGAGGCAGGTAGGGCAAGCAGGCTCAGGCAGGGAGACCCCAGCACCTGCTCGGCAAGGCCCCCACCTGGGGAAAGCAGGAGTTCAGCTTTCCTGGGGAAGCCTCCTCCCCCAGCTCCCTGTCCCCCTCCCAGGCTGCCCTTATACCACTCCCTAGCCCTGTCCTCATCCTTAACTTCACTCAGACTCGCTCTGGGAGGGACAAGGGAGGCAGGGTCAGCAGAGCAGGCCTCACTGGAGGCGGGGCATGGGTGTCCCTCTTTTGCTGGCTGTCACTGCCTGTCACGGAGCTTTTGCCCCTTTCTCTGAGACCTTTCAGTTGTAATCTCTCTGTGCTTTTCTTTAACAGGCAACCATTGGGATTGACTTCTTGTCGAAAACCATGTACTTGGAGGATCGTACGGTAAGTGCCTGAGCAAAGGGTGAGCTCTTTTGGGCTTATCACCCCCGGCCCGTAGCAGGGCAGCCCGAGGGAGCCTGGGCTGGGCAGCAGGGAGAGAGCTGGAGGTGCCAGCACTGCAGAGCCAGGACCTCCCCCGGTCCTGGCCCCCGCTGAGCCATCTGCCCGGCTCTGGCCTCTCTGCAACAGGTGCGACTGCAGCTCTGGGACACAGCTGGCCAGGAGAGGTTCCGCAGCCTGATCCCCAGCTACATCAGGGACTCCACGGTAGCTGTGGTGGTGTACGACATCACAAGTGAGTGTGGGTCCTAGAGCTGGAGGGAGGGTGGCCCACGGGCTCCAGGGCCTGGTGGGGCCCCGGCCAGGCTGCAGCCTGTGTGTGTGTGTATATGTGTGCATGTGGGGGTGTGGGTGTATGCACATGTGTGCACATGTGTGTGCATCCCCTCTGAATGTGGAAGGCAGTTGCTTGGGTGCGGGAAATGAGTTGCCTTTTAACACCAGTGTTTTCCACCCTCCTGCCACAGGCATGAGTGTGCTGGACCTGGTCAGCCCTGCTCAGACGGGGCCTGCCTGTGCCCCTGAGGCTGACGCTGGCTGCCAGAAAGACCCCTATGGAGTGACTTCTGTGTTGGTGTGTGTGTTTGTATGTGTGTGTGTATCAGGATGGGGTAAGACATTGGTCTCTGGGCCAACCTTGACCAGGTTTTGTCAGCTGGCATCCTGGCACCTCATAGGGCCCCTGGGAGGGGGGACCAGTTGGATCTGGGAGGGCCATGGTGGGCAGCACTTCTCACCCTCTGTGGCTCTTGCGGCCAAAGCAGCTGTTTTTGAGGGTGACTGCACAACCCTGAGGGAGGCTCGTGGGGCTGGGGGTGAGGCAGATATAATGGAACATGCCTGGTCCGGCTCAGGCTGCTGTCTCACCTGTGGTGGGAGGACACGCTAAAACCATGCTCGTGGGGAGCATGTGTACCCCAGCTGCCTCCAGCCTGCTGTCCCTGGCTCTGCCCACTCCTTCTTTCCAAGCCCCTTCCTGACAGCAGGTTTCCTGCACCCCTGAGTTCAGGTGAGAGCTGGGCCCCCGGAGGGCCTGGGCCTATGCAGCCTGATGCCAAGCATCAGGGAGATCAGGCCGCAGGGAGCAGGCCTCCCGACACAGGCCGCATCCCCTCCCCTCAGCACACTGGTGGCCAGATGAGGGCTGTGGCCCTGTGACCGCTCCTCCTCTAGGTCTGTCCTGTCTCCTGACTGAGGAAGGAGCCGCCCCAAAATGGCCTTGCCTCTCCTGGTGTTTGTCTGCTCCTGGGCCTCCTCCACCCTCTTCCTCTTACCTGCAGAGCCTAAGGATTCTCTTCAGAAACACCTCTGGCCTTCCCCAAGCACCCCCGAAGCTCCCTGTGGGGGTAGAGCCTGCCAGCTGCTGTGCCCCCACACTATTCCCAATCTCAGCCAGCTCCGGTGCACCCATCTCTCACTCTCTGCTCTAAGCCCCATCTCTGGTCTGACTCCCAGGCGGGCCCCTAACAGCAGTCCATGCAGCAAGTCCTGACACGGTGCCCTTCCAGCAGCATACCTTTTCTCCCCCAGTGGGTGGCTCAGCCACCTGACGGTCTCTCCAGCATAGCAGCCCCACAAACACAAGTGGGCCTCCTCTGGAAGGCCCAGGCCCACTGGTCTGTGTGGCCTGGGGTCTGAGGGTGCACATTCCCCTCCCTCCTGTTCCTGGGCTCACACCCCTACCCACCTTTCCCCTCTCCCAGCGGGGGCTGCTCTCACTCCCAGTTTTATCCCCACTTGCTGCGTCCAGATCTCAACTCCTTCCAGCAGACCTCTAAGTGGATCGATGATGTCAGGACAGAGAGGGGCAGCGATGTCATCATCATGCTAGTGGGCAACAAGACGGACCTGGCCGACAAGAGGTAGGTGCGTGGGTGTGGAGGTGCAGGCCCCGGCAGGCTGCCTGCCGTCCACTCCTCTGTAGTTCCTCCTGGACAAGGCATCTGGGGTGCCTGCGTGCTGAGGGCCTGCTCTGACCTGTCCCATGCATCTGGGAAAGGCTCCATGGGGCACTGGAGGCTTTGAGAGCCTGTGGCAGACACCTGCCCCCGGGCATCCCATCTCTGCTGCCCTCTCCCACTGCCAGCAGGGGCTCCTCCGTGTACAGTCTGCCTGGCACTCCATGCACCTGGTCTGGGGAAGAGAGAGCAGGACACAGAGTGTCCCTGCCACTGTGACATGACTGCCCGCATGTGGGAGTGGCTGTAGGGTCCTGGTCCCTGGGTGTGAACATGCAGGTGTTCCTGTCTGTCACTGTGTCTGGGTTGGGGGAGGGGCCCTGCCTCTGAAGAGGCTGCTCCATGGCTGCCTCCAGTGCAAAGGGCTGACTTAGGTGCCACGTTTGTCCATGAACCTCATGACACCTGCCTTGGTCAGATAAAGCAGTAGGTCATGGACTGTGGTGTTCCTGAAATATACCCTGACATTTCAGGAATGGTATGAATTAGAGCCTGCTTTATTAGAATTCTGTCCTTGAAGTGAGGAAAAGGGGCTCATAGCCCACTTCCTTCACAAAGTGGCCCTGTGGCCTTTGGCAGTCACCTTTAACCTCAGTGCCTTCATTTGGGAAGTGGGATTGATGTGCCACCCAGAGAAGCTGCATGTGGCCCGAGGCACTTCACAGCCACACAGGCTCTGGCAGCAGTGACCCCTGGGAAAGGTAGGAAGGTGACAACCCCACCCAGCCTGCTGCACGGCCTGCCCCTACGCTGGAGGACACCATGGAAGGAATAGGGAAATGGGCCAATGTCCTGCTGTGCCCCTGTGCCCCCTTCATCCTGGAAGCCCCGAGATCACAGCACCCTCAGAGCTGGCTGAGGGCCTGGTCAGCTCCCTTGTCCTGCTTGGCAGGCCCTCATCTCAGGCTGTTCCCTCAGCCTCTACCAGGGGCTGATTTTCCCCTCCCCTCACTTGCAGGCAGATAACCATTGAGGAGGGGGAGCAGCGTGCAAAAGAACTGAGCGTCATGTTCATCGAGACCAGTGCAAAGACTGGTTACAACGTGAAGCAGGTAGGAAGGAGGCACCTGGTGCTGATTCCCAGCCCAGCTTGGCCCAAGGGGCTAGTGACTAGGTCAGGGCAGCTGGCCAGAGCACCCACACACCACCTCATGGGGAGCAAGCTCCAGAGCTGGTAAAGCTTGCAAGAGGAAAAGAGCACTCACCCGGGGAGTGTCCAGAAAATGTCTTCATTTGCCAGCATGCAGCAGCCAGTCTGTGGCCCCTGTAGCATGCTGTGAGTGTCCAGCCACCAGCGTGCAGGTGGCTGAGAAAAGCAGCATTTCCTTAGCAGCTTACCTCACTTGGATGGGGGTGCAGTAAATTCAGTTCAGTTAGCGTTTTGGGGTTCATGCACTGTGCTTGGCAGCCACTCAGGGCTGTGGAGGTCCAGATGGGCTTAGAGAAAAGATCCCACCCACGCTGCAGGTGGAGCTCAAAGAGGGGAGAGGCCTGGTGAATCAGAATCGTCAGAAGAGCTGTGGAGGTACTAGTTAGGACCGAGCCTCAGAGCAGGTGCTTCTCCTGGGTCTGCAGACCCCCAGGCGTGCATAGCCGGGATTCAGCAGATCAGCAGACTGGGGTTGGAGAAAACCACACCTTTATCTTCACTGACCTCTGTTTAGCATTTTCTTCAACAATGAACAGTAGCACAAGACTCTGTAATAGCGGTAGTGCTTGTGGCTTTCTCATGATAGAGATCGTAGCCCGGTGCTGCGCGCATCTTATCCTTTACGTGCCTCCCTACTTCAGGATCCCAGCGGTTCTTGCACCTGCTGCCAGCTCTCGCTGTTAGCATGCTCACGAGGAAGCAAAATGCCTCTGCATCACAAGCTTGCATCTGTAAAGATTTTAGAAGTGTATTTCAGTACTAAATGGGTTTCCTTTATACTCCTATGTGGTTGATTTCACACACTTAAAAGGAGTCTGTAGGCTTCCACAGAGTGCCAAAGAGGTCTTTGGCTCAAAAAAAAGGTTAGGAACCCCTGCCTTCAAGGAACGGAGGACTTGGAGAGGCGACAAGGAAGGAGAGTGTCTAAGGTGGGCGTGACAATGTGAGCAGAGGTGCCTGTGGCATGGGGAGGAAACCATGGCTTGACTGGGGTGCCACTTTTGCCCCACCACCCCCAGCAGTGCCCAGGAGCAACGGACAAGCTGTCCGAGCAGCAGCCGGCCTGGATGCAGGGCTGGTTGAGTCCACGAGAGCAGTGCCCATGGCACTGGGAGGGCTGCCGAGGCGCAGGAGATGCAGAACAGGCGGCCTCCCACTCCCAGGGCTCTGTGCCCTCTGCCCCGGTTGCGGGCCCGCAGAAAGGCTCTGTTCACGCCCACCCCTTCCCAGCTCCCGCTGGTGTGAGGCTGCCCAAGAACTCCTTTCTAACCTGTGGTTCCATCACTGTCAGTCGGACAGACAGGCCTAGCAGGGCTGCCCAGGGTAAGGCCACGAAGGGAAGCTCAGGGGCGACCCCGCCCACTCCTGCCTGCCCCGCCCCGGAGCCCCTCTGCTGCCCGCACCCGGCGGGGCCCACAGCGACTTCACCACCCAGACGCTCACCCAGCCCGGCGCCCCCACAGGGCCGAGGCCATGAGTAGGACTCACAGTTCTCCAAGAGCTCACACAGTGGGGGAGCTACGAACCCAAGCCCCCCGAGTGCCTGCAGTCAGTTCTGTGCGGAGAGGGGGTCGTTGTGGTACTTGGTGTCACCTCCTATGTTCCATGTGTGCTAGTGTCCCACCTGGCACCCTGGTGCGTGCACACACACACACACACACACACACACACACACACACAGAGTTCTCCCCACGCACACTTGTACAAACCCCACCTGTGCACATGTGCACCACACTCACATCCCCCCCCCCACTTACACAGATTCCCACCCACAGGTGCCACACATCTACAGCCCCCCACACACCTTTACACACAGCATACACAACACACTTACACCCGGACCCGAACAAACCCACGTCATGCTCACGCTTCTGTGTCCTTGTCCTCTCAGAAGGGTCTGTCTCCACCGAGACTGCGGCCGGCTCCCAGCACCCAGGTGCCTCGAGGCGGGACTCACAGCGCTCCCTGAGGAGTTGTCTCAAGGGCAGGGTGAAAGTTGGTTCCTCATGCCTGGCCCCCATGTGGGCATCGGGACAGAAGCCCACTTAAGGCTTATCTCCCAGGGCCTAGTTCATTCCCTGCCTTGGGGTAGGTCCCTTTCGGTCCCCATGACCCGTGGCCAGCCTGGGTGCAAAGCCTGCCAGGGCCTGACTCTGTGCAAAGCGCTGCAGGTTGTGGAGAGAAGTTAAGTGCAGTCCCTGCCCTCCAGGGCACAGGCAGCAGGGTGGCCAGGATGAGAAGAGGCAAGAGTGTGGGGACACGGGAGGGGAGGGACGCACGGGGCTCATACCGCATCTTCGCCTCTCTCCAGCTCTTTCGACGTGTGGCTTCAGCTCTGCCTGGAATGGAGAATGTCCAGGAGAAAAGCAAAGAAGGGAGTATCCTTTTCCATTGATGAGTGAGTTTGCTGGAGACCACTTATGCATTGATTTCTCCACTTAGGTTTTTAGATCAGTGGATGAACACTGGCCTGGTCTCTGGCCCAACCTTCCCAGCTGATGTGTATGGCTTGCAGCCTCTCCCCTATAGGGACAAGGCTGAACTCCAGGGTCCTTAAGACCCTGTCCTGCTTGAAACATCTAAGCTGCTTTTTCTAGGACAGTGTGGGGATACTAGAGGGGCCTGGGCAGATCGGTGGTGGAGGGCAGGAGTGAGAAGTGGTAGCTCTGCCCCTCTCTGCTACCTTGTGTCCTGGGTACAGGCAGACTCTCCAGAGCAGGGGAGGCCTCTGTGCCCTCAGAACGCGGTGCACCCACCGGTCACGAGACAGCTCCCTTCCTGCACCAGTTTCCCCGCCCCAGTCTTGCTTCCCTGCCCAACCTGCCTGTCCCCAACACCAGCCACCCCAAACCTCAGGCAACACCCAGAAGCCAAAGTTGAGGTTCAGAGAGGTAATCTGCGTTGCCCAATGGAAGGGAAGCCAGTTATTTATTGTCTATTTACTTATTTATACTCTGCCATGTTATGTGTTTATATATATATATACATACAATATTAAAATGTACATTTTATATGTACATGCACACATAAGAAAATCAGAGTGTAGGGAAAATAGAGGTAGGAAAAGTCAGAGATAAAGTCATACTTAAAATACATGCTGTGGCTAAGTAGCAAGGAGAGAAAATGTGATCTTAGGAGAAGATGGCTTTTGTAGTCTTTAAAGCCAAAGAATCTCTCCCATAGTCCTTAAGTAGGGGCCACAAAAACGTCCCTGGGGTGCCAGCAGCAGGTCCCATAGTGGGGCTGCTTCTCCCTCCCACACTCCCACGCCCCCTGCTCGCCCACAGCAACCCTGCCCTGCCCAGGAGCCACTCCGTGCCCATCTGAGGTCCTGAGGACCACTTGGCTGTGGTCAGGCCTGGCTTGACGATGGGGTTTTCAGTCTGGTGAGGGCAGAGGAGCGTTCTGAACCCACTCCTCTGATGGTTCTGATCAGTGGTTCTCCGACCCACAGTCCCCGGGGCACCAAGGGCGAGGGCTGGAGAGGGGGTTCCTCACAGGGCATTCTCAGGGTCCAAGTGACACACCTGACCAGCTTGAGGGGTCGGTGTTGCCACAGCTGAGGAGAGCAAGGCCCACGGAGCCCTGTGCTTTGACAGGTGCGATCCGTGCCAGCCCAGCGGGCTGCCTGCCTCCCGGGCACTTTGGGGGGTGGCGGGGCTGACAGGTAACAGGTGGGGCACTGGTCACCAGGAAGGACTCTGAAAAAAGGTGTGTCCCACCTACATTTAGATGGTCATCCCACAGGCCAGGACAAGCCTTGCTTTAGGTGGGGAGGGGGCAGGGGATGTCCGAGGACCTGGGAAGAGGAGGAGGGGCAGGAGCTGGTGACCCTGCATCCTTCCTTCAGGCCAAAGGACTGGGTCCCTGGGTGTTTGTAGAGACAGAGGGGCTGCATACGGCAGCTGAGGGGTGTGAGCTGGGGGCGCACCTTGTCCCTGAGAGTCATCTTTCCTTAGCCCAGCCCTCTGCAGTGATTGATATCAAGCTGGACAAACCCCAGGAGCCCCCAGCCAGCGAAGGTGGCTGCTCCTGCTAATGCAGCCTGACCTGCCGGCTTCCTTTGTCACTACTCGCTTGTTGTGTTGCTTCCTATTGGTTAGCTTCCTAAGGGGGGGTGGGACACCAGCTTATCCAGATGGGAGGATTTTTCTTTTCTCTCTGTCTCTAGCAGTAGGGTGGGGTGGGGAGGGAGGCTGGGCATCAGGGATCATGTCACTCTTAACAGCTGTTACTTAAACAACTATTTTTTGGTTTGGTTGTAATATATTGTACTTTATTAATATTGCCAAAAACTGTTAAAATTTAAAAAAAAATTTAAATCATGTGTATACTTTTTGCCAGATAAAAATGTAGTCATTTTTATTTGAAAGATGTTTTTGTTTTTGTATATTTGTAAACTTCTAGAGAACTTTTTCCACTCACCTCCTCCTTCCTGCCCTCCTTGATCTGTTCATCACCTCTGCTCTCCTCCCACCCCAGACTCAGTAAATTAAAACAATTCACTGGTCAACTTCATTAGGTTCTGAACCTGGTCCCTCTGGCCGAGAGCCACCAGGCCCCACCCACCAGACCCGACCCGGCTAAATCAAACCCTGATTGAAATACAACAGCCTCTGAGGAGGCAGCTCGACTCTGCCCTTTTTCTGTGGCCAGAGTTGGACATTGCCGCGGCCCCGAGCTGAAATCAAGGCCTTGTAGACTGCAGGGAGCCCAGCAGCAGGCCCCGCTGGAATTTCTTCCCGTCCTCTTCCCTCCCTGAAGAGCTCTGGGGGCACTTGCCACAGGCACTGTTCTCTAGTGACCAGCAGAGCAGGAGGCCATCAAGGGAAGGACAGGGTGACACTAGCAACTGGGGGCTGTGTGTGGTTTATAGACTTGGGGCACCATGCACGGTTCTGAAAATGTTTTAAGCGACCCACCCAGAGATCAGCACAAATACCTGGGTTGAATCTAAGGTCAGGAAGAAACTCAGTGTACCCGTGAAGCCCTCCTCCTGGGATGTCAGGGAAGCTGGAGCCTGCATCCCATGGGGCTGTCTGCTGCGGAGGGCAGTGTTGTCTGCAGAACCGGCCCCTCAGAGATGCATGTGCTCTGATCCCCCGTTGTTAATACTGAGTGCTATTCTGGAGAGGCTGATTTCTTGATGTGTTCTCACCCCACTGGCCCAGTGCAGTTGAAATGTCTGTGCAGATCTTTTTGTGGATATTGTAGCGGTGCTCTAGTTCCTGAAGATAAGGCTGAGGTGGGGCCTCCAGAAAGCTGTCCAGAGAGCCATGCTTGCCACTTTTGACTCATTTCTGAGAAGGCTTAGTTCTTAAGACCTATACATCTCTGAAAAGAATTCTCTCTTCTTACTATAGTCCACTTGGCCAGCATTCCAAACAGACCCAAACTCACCAATCTTGAGCCTGCACAAAGCCAGGTGGTGGGCAGCAGCTCTGGCCAAAACCAGTAAGCCCCACCCTCCAAGCTGGCGTCAGCTCTTCCTCCAGGCCACTGACGGGCATGCGCAGTTGAACTAAATGGCCATCTGGGGTGGTAGACCTAAGTTCTCCACAAAGCAGGGCTCTAACAAGTTACTGAAATGAATTTTGGAACTTCTCAGAATGTTGTCCAAAATGGCAGCCAGAAGTACAGCAGAATCTGGCAGGACTATGTGTGTCCAGTGGGCCTGTCACACACATCCAGCTAAGGAGGCTGTATGTCAGAGCCACTCTTTAGAGAAGAATCTATCCTTAGGTGAAGAAAAAGCAAGCAGGGTTTCCACTGAACTCTTCCAGATGGCAGAGACCGAAGTATGAGCCTAATTCCAATGTCACGTGTTTTGTTTTGATAATGTGTGTACATAGTTATATAGAGAGACAGACTTGTGTGTATATCTTCCATACATACATTCTCAGACACATGTGCTCAATGTATATTCTCATTTTTTCTGCTCTCAAGTTGGAACTTGCATTGTGTTAACAGTTCTGGAAATTCAAAAGTACATTCAGATACAATGTGTTTAAATAAGAAATACTTAATATTGTCAAAAAACTTGTGATTGTCTTGCCATCAATAAAATAATGCATAGATGTGTTAAACTACAGGCAGAAAGAGCCCACAGGAATATGCGCACCATATCTCTATGTACTTACATGCACGGGTATGCATGCCCAAGTGGGGCTCATTGGAAGAGTGCTTACTTACCTCATGAGAATCTCTAGGAGTCTGTGGTACAGCACCTGGTGTGGCTGGCAGTGAGGGCCATTGCTCGTGGCCTCTGGGGCAGCCCCATTTGCAGGGATCTGCATTGGGTCTCTGTGAGTGAATGTATGGTGGATTTTTATTTTCTTTGTACTAACGAGCTTTTCTCAAAACATTCCTATAAAAACAAGTAGAAACTCAAGTTTCCTTTCCATGTGCACACAAATCCAAGGCACCATGAACTTTACTTTCCATCACAGCCTAAGAGACAGTAGATTTTGTTTGCCTTAGTGAGCCCTGCCTTTCCCAGCACGTAGACAAGCCTGGGCTACCCCCAGCCCCTTGGGCCTCTGACACAAGGACAGTTGCCTTTTCTTGTCTTCCCCTCTTGTGGTGCCGTGCCATCTCATGACCTCCTTTCCTGAGGCCCAATTTCCCCTGTTTCCTGGGGTCTGTTTGGGCAGCCACACCTCTTGCCGTGCATTGGTTCCTTGGAGCTCATTCTGAGCAGGTGCCACCTCTGTACTGTGAAGTAGGAAGGATCTTGACTCAGTTAAGGTTCAATAGTAAAATGATCAGGTTCCCTTGAAGAGGTCATGAAATTACCCCAGTATCCCCAGTGAGAGTGTTACACTTTTGCTGAACCCAGATGGGCTAGTAGCACAAGGCAATGTAGAGAATCCTGTTTCGGAAATGATGGTAAATTAGCCAGTAGTTCAGCCCCACTCACCAAGGATCAGCCCTGATTTGGGAGATGAGCAGGAGCATCATTTTTAGGCCCTCTTTTTTCCCTTAGGAATCTCAAAGAAAAGCTGTCAGTAAAGCTCCTGTTTCCAGGCATCAGAAAAATGGGAGGATAAAGGTGGAAAAGGCAGGTAGCGCACTTTTAAATGCACACACATGCCAGCATAGAAGTGTGGCAACAGCATCTCAAGTGCTGGAGCTGTGGCTGTGTGGTCCACGGTCAGCACACCAGGTGACTAGAAGCAAGTTACTTGTGCTCAGAGGCCTCCCTGCCATCACTCACCACTCTCCCCATTAGCATCCTCAAATATTCTGTGATGTTCCCAGGTCCGGGAGCAGGAGCCAGTCAGTTCAAGGTCTCAGGCAGCAGAGGATTAGAGTGGTAGAAACTAAGTGTACAGACACATCCTCAGTGTCATGTTGCCATCCTCCTGGTGGCCAGCCAGTGCTGGGAGGCCCTGTGAAGTACCAGGTGTGACAATAATGGCACCGCTGGCTCTGGTGTCCCGCAGGCAGAGCAGCTATATTCCTTCACACAGCAAAGGGCAGGTGAGGCTGTCAGGATGTGAGAACAGGTATCCAAGGACTGAGTCCTGTCCGAGCCATGTGATGGGCAGCTGAACAGCAGCATGTCTGCATGCATCAACCAAGCACAGCCGTGTGTGCGCTGGGTTCCGAACTACCTCTCCCCCAGGAATGTGAGGCACTGTCACCTGACTTAGCAGTGTGAGGCAGAGGTCTCAGCCCTGCCTGTTTCACAGGCAGAAAACCCAAGACAGAGAAGGGAGACTTGCTTATGATCACCCAGCAAGTCAGCAGCAGTCAGAACCTAGGGGTTTCCCTTCTCCGCCCATCGCTGACCTGTGTGTCCCATCGTGACCACGCCCTTGCACAGGAAGGGCTGCTGTGCGCGGTGCTCCTCAGACATCTCTGCTCTGGTTAGGATATAAGGCTCTGCCTGGAGTATCTGAGTGAGCCGGGGAGGAGTCCACGTACACTTCAGGTTCCTTCATTTTAAGAAGGGCCAGTCCCAAAGTCCACTCTGATTATCTTGGGCACCCACAAACCAGGGTGCCCTTTGAATTTGTTTGAAATAAACTGTTGAAGTGTTCCAAAACCTTGGGCTCTCAATGTGTGAACTCCCTGGATGCCAGACCTGTGCAGCTGGCACTCCTGGCAGGGCAGGTTTATCCCTGCAGTGGGGCTTGGATGCTTCCCTCCACGGGGAGCCGCCATACATCCAAGGCCAGCCTGTACCACGTGGTGTCAACTCCTCTCCCTGCTCCCTCACCCACCCCCATAAAACTGACCCGCCATGAGGAGCATGGAGAGCGGCGCTTCCACCTTTCACTGGCTCAGCAGGCACAAATGACCACACTGACTTTACATAAAACTGTGTAAAACGTGGAAGACTCAGCATGTTGATCAAACAATAAACTGTCCTAATTCTCAACACGAAGCCTCTTGTCTAATGTTTCTAAATGTTGTGATCATATATTGGGGGTGGGGGTGCAAAAACAGATTTCTTCAAGTGCATGCTCCACAAAGAGCCTTTCGTCTGGCTGGGTGTGTGTACACTACCCAAAGCCCTGGGCTGCTTCCTTCCCCTCACCTGGGATCCCCCCAACTCCGAAGGGGCAAAGGCAGGACACATGAGATTAAATCCACTCTCATTTCCGTATTTCTACCTAAAGGCTGATGGACAGGGCCACTCCAGGCAGGACTGGAACTCAGGTGTGTGTCTTCGGTCATCCCTGCTCTCCACGGGCTAAGGCAGAGGGAAGGGTGGGTGCAGGGACTCCCTTCCTTCTGATGATTTCCAGAAAGTCATTTAAAGGCAAGAACTTAAGGTGACTCACAATCACCTTTTAGGTGACACCAAGCTGCCACATACCACTTCCAACTTCACCTCACATCAATTAGGGCATCACTGAGAGGCACCTTCAAGTCATAGTCATCTCCAGATTAAGAAATGCCCTGAAGGCCAGGAGAGTTGTGGGACCAATCCAAAGAAGACACAAAGGACAAGATCAGGCACAGACTTGTCCTGGCTGGAGAATGCTGAGAATCTTGGGGCTGTGAAGTGAGCCCAGTTCACCAGGTCTTATTCTTCACATTCAACTGCACTCATCAGATTCTAAAGTTTCTGGAACACCCTCCAATCTGCCAGCTCAAGGAGGGGCAGAAAATAGATATCCCTGTCCATTAAGTCTAAATTTTCAGGCTGCCAAGTAAGAGGTAAAGGAGGGATGGGATGTCAAGGGGCAGAAGCCTGGGAACCAAAGTGTACGTGCTTGTACGGGTCAGATTAGCGCCAGAGGAAAGCTGTTCCAAGGCTGGCAGTCATTCCCCAAGTTATGGTATTCAAGGCAACATGTCATCCAACAGCAAAGGGCGTGAGTAATCTAAGTGTGGCGCTTACACAACTGTCTGTAGCCCCATCCCTTGTGAGATGAAGGAAGCATGCTGGGGTGTCAGTGTGAAGATCACAGTTGCGGTGAAACGTCCTGGCTGAGGTGCCCCACCCAGCATCATAGGCTGCTGCTACTGGGGGCTTTCCTCATCACTGTAGCTGTGTTTTGTCATCCAATGACCAAGAGTAGAGAAACGAGCTCTGATAATCCTATGCTCACCTCCAATTTTTTAAAAAGATATTTCAATTGAATCAAAATGATCTCAAGTCAACAGAACATGGATGAGTGCCTCACACCTAACAGGACGACTGGGCTCTCAGGTGGCGCTGAGACAGAGACCGTGGGAAAACTGGCAAACCCCAGATACTCGCCCCCAGCAGCAGCTGGGAACCAGGAGACCCCAGCTAACTGGCAGGCCCCTGACACTGGAAGGGCTACCATGGGCCCGGAACCCTTGGAAAGGGGCTTGAGAGGAGTTAGAACAAAGGGCAGTGTGGCCAGCGCCTCGCCCCCGTGGGAGAGTCCACGGCAGAAGCGGGCATGTCCACCAACAGGGGGCCCAGGACTTACCCACTGCAGCTTCCTTCCACCGTGGCACCTCACCTCTCCCTCAACAAGCCATGGGGTCGTTTCGCATCAGGTGGCAGCTGCCCTGGGAGCAGCTCTCAGTGCCCATAATATCCAGTAGCCCGGACACTGCCATAAACACGAGGAAGTGCCTGAAGCCACACTGTCTTTTCTTTGACGTGGTCATGCCTCGTCTGCCCTTCCCCATGAGCCGACATCCCTCTTCCCACTCTGGCCACACCTGCTCCCATCTCATGAAGCAATGGGCCTACTTCGGCTGAATGGCTTCAGGGCCACAAGAGGAGAGCATACAGCTCACCTCCCCTCAAAACCCCTTCCCAGCTCCCAAGGACTAGACACTATGACCTCATCCTGGCCCAAACCTACAATAGGACGAGGGCAGCAAGGAGTAGGGAGCAGGAGAGCACCCTGTAACCTGCTTGCTTACTTCACCGTTGGAAAACCTACACAGGGCTGTGGCCCAAAGGACTGACATACTCAAACACACTAACGGCACACACGACACTGCAGGTCAGGTCACCGTGGAGGGCGCTCCTAGGAGCCCTGCATGCCTGGTAACAGCCTTGTTGAGTGTGCAAATCCCTGAGACCACACCAGATCCGCCACTGAATTAAATGTTTAGAAGCAAGTTCCTCAGGTCAGCTGTTTAACAAGTCTCAGAGACAATTCTGGCACACGAACATCCAAAACTCACTGTTTGAGATACAACTTCCCTTTTCAGAAGACCACCTTTAGACCCTGAATAAAATTCAACCTTGCTCCCTTTCTTCAGTTGTTAGCTGTATTGTTTCCTTCAATAAAGAAGACTCTTTATTGAGCAAAACAATGAAAAAGGCTGAGAGAACACCTGCCTCCTACAGAAGCATCAAGCCATTGGTTTTTATAAACGTGAGCACCTACTATGATGATGTGAACATGTCACACTCATCACACCTTTTTCATTTCTGGTTCACTCTTCTCACCTACCTCCTGGGATTACTACTGGCCAACAAGGAAAGGGCAAGAACTAAGAGTTCCAAGTGCAGTGAGAACACTAGCAGCAGTGAGGCTTTTAAGGAACTCTGCCAGGGTCAAGGTCTAACATCTTCTTGTTTCAGGTCGTGTTTATTTGTTATACCAGCAACAAGGTGTCTAATTCAGGGCTTGGTGGCAGGGCTGGGGCACTCTCACTCAGCTGGCATGACCCACAGCAAGGGGTGCCTTCAGGCGTGGTCTGCGGTGTACACTGGGGCCGGACTCGCTGGGACTTATCAGCTCCGTGCTTTATTCTTTGACTCTCCCTGACCCCTCAAGGTGAGGAAGCCCTGCTGCACACTCCCAGGGCACCGTGCTCCTCTCCTGTTGCAGCTCTTACCACACTTACCTTAGCTTCTCTCTTACCACAGCCACCCTTGTCTCCTTAGCTTTGCTGGGCTTGTGGGAAGTAGGGATACAAGTGTTTGTTCCCGTGTACATTGCAATCTTTTTAGGCCCTGGAAATATGGAGTCTGGACTGATTCTTAACACACACTCCCATTTGTAGTCACACCATTCTATTCAATTGCTTTAAGCCAAACACATTTTATTTACCAAGAAATGTATTAATAATTTATAAAAGCCATAAAAAAGCCATACATTTGAGATCATAGCAAAGAACAACACTTTGAGAAGGCTTTTTCTTTCAACCATCAGTGAATATGCACTTAAAAAATCTAGAGAACTTTTTCCATTTTGTATTTGTTCCACCGCATTCTAAGTGTACAAAACAGGAGCTGATCAACAAGCACATGAAGATAGTCCAGAAGCCCTCAGCCATCCAGGAAAACCAGAACAGCTTCTAAATCTCCACGTACTGCCCAGTTAGGGGAAAGCACTTAATACACGAGACCCTTGGCATTTGGGGATTTAGCATTTGTAGTTCTGTCATCTGGGAATGACTCCAAGCGTTCATGACATGTTTTTGAGGCCTAAGTGTTTTAAGGCTGGAGTGTGAACAAGTCACTGAGCTAATGGATAACAGAGCCAGAGTGATGAACACAGCCTTGCTGTTTTGTACCTGTCTCCACATGTCCGGAGACCATACTGCAATTGTACCTACAAATCTGAGAACTCAGAGGACTAGATGACATACTGCCCACAATCAAGGGCAATTGGAAATCAGCTGGTTCCACACACACACCCACAGCTTTGTTCCTAGGAAAAAAGGACCAAAGCACAGCAGAGGATTCAAAAACTTGTCAGATAACCATGATCTCATGGTAACATCCTCTCTAGTTATGGTCACAAAGACCTGGACCCCACAGCAAGCATACACTATACACTAAAGGAAGTTACATATACTCTAACAAAGGGAAGACACACGAGTCAAATAAAAGCCACTCGTTTGAAATCAGTAAGAGAACTGAACTTAAAAAAATAAAATTACAAGCTGGTTTCAACAATAGTTTGTTTCCAGAATAAGGAAATGTTTCTAACTATATTTTGTACCCCTTCGTATCAACTCCAGGCTACCATACCCTTTCCCAAAACTGTCAGTCACACACATACACACTCATGTCTTGTGATTTGGATCTGCCCCTCAGGCAAGTTTAGCCAGCCATTTCTCCAAGTCCTGGATGTCAGCAGAGCTACCGTCCCCTCTTCCACCCTTGGCGCTACACTCCAGGAACTCCACCTTGAGAGGCAAATGTGAGAATTCAAATTCTTTGCCCTTCTTTCCCAGCTGAGCAGGTACAGTGCTGGAACTGTCCAGTGTGCTGGGGGCAGCAGAACGAGTGACTCGTAAAGTGTTGCTAGGAAACAAAAGGAAAATGAGTCAAGAAGCAAAAGGTTTAACTTTGATACAGCAATTAAAGGCCTTTAGGAAATCATGTTAGTTCTCAAATATTTCAGCACTCGTTTATTAAAAACTCATAATAATACTATTAAGACTGTGGGATAATCCTTTTGTAGCTCACTCTATTGGACAGAGAGGAGAGACGGGTCCACTTGCATACTTACATGGACAGCAGGTCAGTAATGGACTCAGGTCACGCCAACCTTTCAGCCCAGTGCCCCCTTCCACTAGGCTCTCCTGCATGATGCTGTTTTCAAATATATTTTTAAAATACATGCTGGGTTTCAAAAACTTAAGTTTCTGAAAATTAAGTGTGGGTAGATAGGTATTTATAGTTTATTGAGTCTATTTAGATACAGAGCTTAGGAATGCACAAACTCCAGATTCTCATAACCAATTTGGGCACAAAATACTATTTTCCAACACTTTTAACCATGAAAACTTTCTCAATTTAAGTCACCTTACTGCCACCTGCTGGCCCTAATGAAGAGAGCATAAGCAACACTTAATTTGCCTACTCCAAGGAGCAGAATACATGCTGACAATCTGCTTTCTTACAAAATATAGTATTTCTTGGTGCTGTAAGATTGCATGAAAATCAGTGAAGGATCCATAGGAAAAATTAAATACCTCATT